TCCACTTTCCTTGAATTAAGGAACCATTTTTTTTTACCCCAACACCAATGTTTTAAAGAACTCGCCTCGGGGCACGCCTAAGGCGCCCTTGAGGCTGGGCGGAGAGGCAAACACCTCAGTTTTGCTGGAGTAGGCAAAATGCTTCGCCGGAGACGCCGAGGCGGCGGAGGCGCCTCAAGGCGTCTGGACGTTTTTTTTTTTTTTTTTTTTTTTTTTTTTTAAAAAAACCATCCAAACCCAAAACGACGTCGTTTGGGTAAGGATTTTCAGTCTTCACCCACCATACCTTCGAATTCGACCCATTTTTCTGCCTTCTGCCTTGTTTCTTCTACTCCCGCGCACCAGAAGCCCAGAGGCTCAGAACATCGGTGTCGCCACGCCGCCACGCCGCCATCATCCCGCCGCCGTCACCTCAGCGCCATCAGCCCAGCCCCAACGCCGTCAGCAAGATCCCAAAGGTTAGGGTTTCTGAAATTAGGGATTTATTTTCTGGGGAAGGTTTTGCAACTTTTGCTATAGAGGGGTTAATAGTTTTCTGGGGATTTAGTTTTCTGGTTTTGCATTTTCTGGGGAAGGCCGAAGGTGCTCTGCGAGAGAGAGACAGAGAGAGAGACAAAGAGACAGAGGAAGAAGTAGAGTAGAAAACAGGGGACAGAGCCCACGGTTTTATGTTTGTGTGGCTGCCAAACTGTTTTGCACTTATAGTCTTATACCATAAACTTAATGCTTCTGCCGGCTACCATAAATTGTTGCCATAAATTGTGTCCGTGTGCCATAAATTGGCACTTAGATAAATTGTTAGAAATTGGCACTAAAGGGTTAATTGTTAATAAATTAATTAAAGGATTAATTTATAAATTAATTAATAAATTGTTAGAAATTTATTAATTGTTAGAAATTGTTAGAAATTAATTAAGGGTTAATTGTTAGAAATTGTTGGAAATTGTTGGTATATAAATTAATTAATAAATTGTTGGTTCATTAATTGTATGCATGCATCTATTGTTTATTGTTTAGGGTATTGAAGAATATGGCTTCTTCTTCTAAGAAAGATTTTGCTTGGCAATGGACAAAAGATTTGGATCCTGTCACTAAGCACTTCTATTGTGTTTTTTGTAACCACAAATGCATGGGTTCAATTTCTAGATTCAAACATCACTTGGGTGGTGTAAGTTCGGGAGGAATGATAAGTTGTAAAAAAGTCCCACCCAATGTGAAAGAAGAATGCTTTGCTAATGTTATGGGAACTAAAGAAAAGAGGAAAGCTAGTCATGAGTTGTATCGTGGTGGTGGAGAAGAAAGTGAAAGTGTCGATATGGGCACAACAAGGACAACATATGTAAGTAGTGGGAGTGGGAGTGCGAGTGCCTCACATTCACAACAAACCGGTTCTTTTCTACCACCTAGGTCAAGGGGACCACTTGATAGGTATGTTACATCAGAAACTCGTCAAACCACGTTGAATACACCTTTCAAAAAAGAGGAAAGAAGACAAGCATCCCGAGCACTTGCCCGATGGTTCTACACTAGTACCATTCCATTCAATGCGGCAAACAATGAATATTATGTTAATGCAATGAAATTGGTGTCCAATTTTGGTCCCGGCTTTGATGCTCCTACAAGCCATGAATATAGAACTTGGATGCTTAAAGAAGAAGTTGATGATGTACAAAGTATGATGAAAGAACAAAAAAAAGCTTGGAAGAGATATGGATGCACTATTATGTCGGATGGATGGTCGGATGGCAAAAGTAGATGTTTAATCAACTTTCTTGTCAATAGCCCTCAAGGTACTTGGTTCTTGAAATCGGTTGATGCATCGGCCTCTATTAAGAATGGAGATTTGTTGTATGGCTATTTGGATGACGTTATTCAAGAAATTGGGGAGGAGAATGTGGTTTAAGTTATATCTGACAATGCTTCGAACTACAAGAATGTCAGGGCAAAACTTATGGAGAGGAAAGAGAAGGTGTGGTGGACTCCATGTGCGGCTCATTGCATTGATTTGATGTTAGAAGATATTTTTAAGATGGCATGGTTTGATGACACACTCAAACGTGCTAGGTGTATTTCAAAGTATCTATATGGGCATCAATGGGTACTAGTTTTGATGAGAAAGTACACTAACAATTCGGAAATTCTTCGTCTGGCGGTCACTAGGTTTGCCACTTCTTTCCTTACACTACAAAGCTTACAAAAGCAAAAGGAAAATCTTGTTGCTTTGTTTACCTCTCAAGAATGGTCGGAAAGTACCTATGCAAAATCCCGTGAAGCAAAGTTAGCTAAGCATCATGTGTTATATGATCGTGAGTTTTGGGGTCGAGTTTCCTTTTGCATTAAGGGCGTTCTTCCTCTTGTTTGTGTTTTGAGAGAGGTTGATTCGGAGGAGAGACCCCCCATGGGTTTTATATATGAGTTGATGGATGCCGCAAAAGAGAAAATTGCAAGCAATCTTAACAAAGTGGAGAAAAAAATATATGCCTATTTGGAGAAAGATAGATTGTAGATGGGACGATCAACTTCATCAACCATTACATGCGGCGGGCTATTACTTAAACCCACAATTTCGATATAAGGATAATTTCTCAGATACTGATGAAGTGCGAAATGAGTTGTTTGCTTGCATGGATAGGATGCTTGGGAAAGGGAAAGAACGTGAAGAGGCCGATGTTCAATTGGATTTATTTACTAATAAGCGTGGTCCATTTGCGGATTCTATGGCTATGCAAACTAGGAAAAAGCGAACACCAAGTAAGATTTAATTAGTTAATTGTTAATATCTTTTTATCATTAACCTTTAAATTACTTACCTTATTAATATTGTTTTTTTAGCTGCTTGGTGGGAGCGCTTTGGGCATAAAACACCCGAGTTAACGAAATTTGCTATCCGAGTTCTAAGCCTTACTTGTAGTGTATCGAGATGTGAGAGGAATTGGAGCACATTTTCAATGGTAAGTAAATATATTATTAGTATCTTAAGTGTCATTTTTGCTTAAAATGTTTAGACTTGAATAATAGAATTGATTTGTTTGTAGATTCATACAAAAAGAAGGAATAGGCTTGAACACAAAAGGCTTAATGCTTTAGCCTATGTCAAGTACAATTTGGCTTTACAACAAAGAAGTAAGAAAAGCATGGAGAAGTATGATCCTATTGTTGTGGAAGAAATTGCCTCCGATGATGAATGGATAACAGAGATAGAAGATCCCGTTCTTCCGGAAGATCCTACATGGCTTGAGGATGAGTTATTGTATAATGTTGAGGCCGTAAGGAATGTGCTAACCCCGGTTTATGAAGGTGGCTCATACATTCGAGAGCCTAGAGAGTCTTCTCCTCCTCCTCCTCCTCGTGAGCCTACTCCTCCTCCTTCTCCTCGCGAGCCTACTCAACCTCAGGGTCCTATTACATACAAAAGAAAACGGGGTAATGAAGAATCCTCAAGTAGAACTAGAAGAAATGTGGAATATGATTCGAAAGATTCTTTTGATGAAATGATGAGATACCCGACAAGTTCATCTAGAGTTGGCAACGAAGAGGATGATGTTGCCTTTTATTTAGATGAAGAGGATTTAGATGAATGATTTATATCTTTGTTTGTATTTTGATTTATATGAAGATGATTTGGATGAATGCTTGTTTTCTTTGTTTGTATTACCTTTTGAATGATGAATTTGGGTGATATTACCTTTGAATGATGAATTTAAATGATATTATCTTTTGAATGACTATGGATTTGAATGAAAAATTGAGAATGGATGTTTATTTTACATAGTATTATTTTTTATACAATTATATGTATAATATATAAAACATATATATAAAAAAAAATTAAATCCTGTAAGGCTTCGCCTCACGCCTAGGCTGGGCTTCGCCTCGGACGCCTCGCCCACGCCTCACGCTTTTAATACATTGCCCAACACAAGTGAAAATAAATAATATTGGACTATTGAATTGAGTGACAATCAAGGTCTAAAATATCGATATTATCGGCAATAATATCGTTTTTTTTAGAAGACGATATTTTCACACTTATCCACTTAATTATCGTCAATATATTGATATTTTTGTCGATAATATCACGATATATTGCCCAAAAATACTTGAAAAATGCTAAAAAATCTCAATCTTGAGCATAGAGGGATTCGAATTAATCCCATTTTACTCCTTCAACACCTTGACCACCATATCACTTATGTTTTTGTGAAAATATGCTAAAATATTTATATACATGGTTTTGTTTTGAATTCTTTTTGCAAGAAACAAATTTGCACCTGACAATGAATCTTTGACAATTTCTTTTCAAGTATCTACTTTTAGCACATAGAGATGATGAAGATAGTGAAAATTTTGAACCTCATAGGAACTCTATGTGGTACTAAGTCACTCATGTATCTTACCATGCAATGTATAAAGTGTAAAATATTGTACTAATTCATTATATATAAATGAGTATGGTGTGTTTAAACTTCTTTCATTAATTACTACATATTTTCTACACTTACAATGTTTGCCAGCTCGCTATATAATCAACTTAAATCAGTTAAATCCATCATGCAATGCATTTTCTTCCAATTTTTTATGATAAACTAATAGATAATTGACTAAATAAACATCCTGCAAAGTTTCAATAAAAATTTCCAAGTTTTTCTTACAATTTCCGTGGTTTTTATTCAATTTTTATCGATATTGATAATATCCCGATATTTCTATTGAAATTTCCGTGTTTTTGGACTACTGATATTTCCAATATCATTGATATTTTAGACCTTAGTGACAATTGAGGCATGTTGGAAGAGATTAGGGGCTCATAACCAAATCAAAATCTCCCATGACTGACAATGCTAAAACAAAATTTCGGCGAATATGTAAAACCCTAGACGCTAAAAACCAATTCTTGGGTCCTCGGTTCAAATTTGGACCAAATGTGGTCTAATATATAAAAGCCCAAACCTTTACAGGCCTGGCCCAAATTCTCCTTCATCCTTTTCGTCAAACCTATCAAGTTTATTTGAGACGAAAAGGCTGGCCTTCAGCCTTCCACCGTCATCAGAAGGCATGGAGATTCCAAGGTCGTCGTCAATGGCGCTTCTACTACTATCCATATTCTTCCTCCCAAACTTTTTCTGCCTATGCAGTGCGATCGAGTCGCCTCAGTACTCCGTGGTTCACTCGGAATCCGACTTCGAGATCAGACTCTACAGACTAACCCCCTGGATGTCTGCTCCTGTTACGGACATCTCCTTCGAGAAAGCCACCAAAAATGGCTTCCACAGGTATTTTACCCATTAACCCACCTTGGCGTTTTTTATTTTATTTTCTGGGTTTTTATTTTCGTTAATTAATTGTGAATATCCGCCATGAAATTCCTTTGTAATTGATCGTTTGGTTCTCTTTTTCGGACGAATAATTGTTAAATACACACCATGATTTTCTCTCCGCACCCAGTAATTGTTAAATTTAGATATGTTTGCTCAGTTTATGGTCCGTGCATGTTATGCAAATTCAGTTCTTTGAGCTGTAAGAGTAAGAGGGAATTCATACCGTATAATGATCTACTCGTAAGTGATATTGTGATAAATTTCTCGGAACTAAGGTGTAGTCTTTGGAAAACAGTAAGATTTTGTGTTGTTAAGTGGAGAAAATCTGAGAGATGCTAAAAGAATCGAAGGCTATTTGAGATGGTTTTGATTTTCAAAATGGGAAGTGTTAGTGGCACTCCAAAAATCTCATTCTACACTCCTCACAAGTGTATTTTTCTTTTTAAATATAGAAAGCTTGGAGTGTAGAATGAGAATTTTGGAGTGCCAATAGCAATTCCCTTCGAAATAAGGCAAGATATGGTGAAATCATTTCTTCAGATTATAGTCTTAGGGTGCCACTATTCCGGGTTCAGTTAGGCTCAAGCTCGATATATTTCCCATTTCTCGGTGTCCTTGTATCACCTTCACAATCATGTGCAACTTCTTTTAGCAACAGATACATTGTTTTTTACCTGTAGATGAGTCATGGGTGTGTTGGACCATTGCCTGTGAGTATCCGTGGGTAGCAGTTGATAAATGTGGATCCTCTTGTGAGTCCTGCATACATCAACGGCTAGCAGCCGCCCAATGTGTTGGTGACTGTCCAAAATAAAGCTTTTAATGTGTACTAATTTATCAACTTAATCCTCACTTACTGGAAAATATGCAGTTTATTTGTTAACAACGCTGCAGGAGCACATAGCATACAATTCGCTTATATATGCTTTTGCTAATGTGTAAACTTGGTTATCCATGCTTTCTTTCGTAGTTGGCTAGTTGGTTACTGTCAATACTTTCCTCAGTTTATTTCAATTTTAATTGTCCGTTGCACTTTGGTAATAGTTTCCCGACCCATTAACTCACAGACTGTTCCAGTACATCCAAGGTGCCAATTTGAACTTCTCTCGGATTGCAATGACAGCGCCTGTTTTGACAAGCATAGTCCCAGGAGCTGGCCCCCTTCACTCGTCGGCCTATTTTGTCAGATTCTACTTGCCTACGAAGTTCCAAAGTACCCCTCCCACACCCCTCCCCGAACTCAACTTGAAATCCTACACATGGGACAGTCATTACATTGCCGTCAGGAAGTTCTCTGGGTTCGCAAGAGATACAAACATTGTGAAAGAGGCAGAGAAACTCGCCACCAGCTTGAGCAGGTCTCCATGGGCAAACTCTACATCAGCAGAAAGTAGCTACGCTTACTCGATTGCACAGTACAACTCCCCATTCCGATTTATTGGTCGTGTGAATGAAGTTTGGGTTGATGTCAATGCATCTGGAGTGGATGGATATAAATCCAGCGAAATAGCTACGTATTGACATTCTGCAGTTTATGGGCATATATCGAAACTTGGGTTGTTAACTATACTCGAATGTGCTACATCTTAGTTTCCATACCTGTATCGGTATGTATATATGAATATGATGACTGTAACCGTTGTGCAGAATATGCGGTCCGTTACAAGGTGTACTTCGAACAAATTCTATGTTGAGTCCTGTTTCAGGATGGTGTCTGTATAGTGGGAATAAATGCAAGGTATTTTCGACCTTTACGCTGTCAAAGTGCTATTTCGGAGAAAAAGAAGGTGTTGTCTGGAGTTATAATCGTATATGACAGATTCCGGCAGCAGATTTAACGAAAAACAAAACCGATGCATGGATTTTCTTAAGACCAATTAACCACGAACCCAATTCGATTGACCAAAATTGACAAATACATAGATTTGATACGATCAGTGAACTATTAATAGTACTTAATTGACCAAAATTGACATTAGCATACACTTCCTAAGACCAAATGACCATGAATACTGGTTCGATTCACCAAATTATTGACCTATTCGAATAAATAACCATGAATATTACTTGTCACAGCTTTCTTTTGGGGCGCTACGCTTGTCTTCCATGGATTTGGTCTCGGTGGCCGTGCCATACGTACTCATCAGTCCGGCGGCATATGTATACCGCATTGTTGCCCTGGTGACGGCAGTACCGTGCAAAGCAGAGCCGGCTTTAGGCAGGTGTGAGTTGTTTCATGGGACAGGCCCCAAAATATTTTTCTTATCTAATAAGTAATAAATATATATACATATAAATATTATATAAAAATAATTTATATAAAATATTAATCAGAGCAAAATAAAATATGAAAATATTATCCCACAGGCTACACAAGCCTACAATTCTCACGCCTCCACCAATTTTTTCTCAAAGGCCCCCCGTCTATTTTTCACATAAACCATGGGAGTAGGCTAAAACTCACAATGGTTAGCAATAGTTTGGTTCAAATTCATCTTTAGCGAGAATTGAAATTAAAACCTCTCACTTACAAGTGAAGTTCAATACGATTAGACCGTAGTACCAAATGACAACTATTGTTTCTTAACCAAAAAAATAGGTTATTTTATAAATTTCGCACAAAATCCCGAAATATTAGAGACAACCCTGGTGCAAAGACATAGGAACTCAAAACGCCTGCATGCGAAACCAACAAAAACAAATAAAAAATATGAAGACAATGTTTGATTGTCAAGAAACTTATACGTACAGAATGAAAAGGAAAAGAGAACTATAATATATTAATATACGTACAGCCGATGACGTTACGGAGGCGGGGACATCACGGTTGGCGTAAGGCAAGGCGCTATTGATCTAAGACTTGAGCACGTCATTAAAAGTATGTCTGACAAATGGATTGAGTTTGTCGTATTCGTGTCATTTTCATATCATACCTGTTATCTTAATCTGCTCCTAACAGGTGGCTTGATTCGTTAAAGGGTTGTGTCATTTCGTGTGGGGTCATGTAAGAAATTTGCATGCCTAATGTCTATATCTGTTAAACGATATCTTATCGAGATCTTAACAGATGACCCAATAACAACCTGACTTGTTAACGGATTCTTAACGGGACACTTTGTTAACGACCTGACTTGTTAACAGGTTGATCTAAAATTTGTTATATTCGTGTCAAGTTATCGAGTCATGCACTAAATTGTCAGGCCTAATTAAAAGTACACAAAAAGATCCAGTCTCCTTAAGACAATACTGATGGAGGAGAAACCCATGTAACACTTTAAAAACTACAACTTATTTGTTTTACATAATTAACAAGTTGGTAAAGCATGGAAAAGCATCATCTCCGGATCCACTTTGTGTTCCTACCCGTTCATCGTACATCGTGCGTTCAGTTTTCGTCAGGTACTATTTATGTTTAATTTTTAATAAAAAAAAGTCAAATAATTTTTGACCGCACGATGCACGATGAATAGCTAAGATGTGAGGATCTCTAAGATCCTCACAATTTGGATTCGAATGGAATCCAAATCCATAAAGCATCGCTCATTTCACTTGCAATTTTTGTAGAACCTTGTAAAAAGTGACGTATTTTGTCATATTGATGGTCCACCTCTTTGCAAGGTAGACCGTCCTTGTTCAAAGCACAAACAAACGAAGATAGGGGTCGTTGAACCCAAACTAAATTGCACATCTCCGCTCTAGCATGTGACGCCACATAATCCGCTGCTCCATTGGCTGATCTTGGAATCTAAGACCAGACACACGAACTGAAGTCTTCACCTCCCCTGCGAATCTCCCACAAGGTTGGGAAGACTTCCCAATTTCCTTGGTCAATACATCCATTCAGCCAAGAGATAATCTCTTTTGAGTCTGACTCTACCACAATATTCGAGAAACCCCTCTGCTTGGCCATCACACATCCTTCTAAAACACCCTTTGCTTCAGCCACCAACGCACTAGAGGCCACGATCTATCTTCTACGTACTGCCAAGTAGCGAGAAGAAAAGTCCCGGAGTATGACACCAATATGGCAACACCCAACCTGAAGGAAAATTTGTGAAAAACATGTTCATTTAAGCAACATCAATAGCATGCAATTAACAATTAAAGGCGGAATCATGCTTGTATGCACTTAAAACAAAACATTTACCCATGAAATTCAAAGCCTAGTAGATAGGTGAACCAAGACTCAACTCAAAACAAAGTGAGTTGAGAAATCAATACCTTTGTAGATTCCTCTTTGCATAAGCAAAGGCTAATCACCCAAAGAGAGGGCCTTCATTCCTTGCATCTTGGATCCATGGATTTGGATGGATGAAAAGGTTTCTCCAAGTTCCCAAAATTGAGAACCTCTAAGTCTCCACACCAAGGTATATTGTAGAAGAAATGAGTGACCTAGAGGAAGTAAGATTGCTAGCTATTCCCCTCTAGATTGGCCAAAATTTTTGAGAGAAAGGAGAGCTTGTGTTCTCATCCTTTCCCCAAAAATAACCCTTGGTAAATTTTAGGCTATAAAGTCCTTTATATAGTCCCTTCAAATAAGTGACCTAATAGACCAAAAACCCTATTCTTTTACACATGGCTAGCCTATAGGTTTATTGGGCTTTCAAGCCCTTTGTTTTATTCAAGTTGTCATACAACTTGAGTTAATGGGCTTGACATTCAAATCCCATTGGGCCTTGCGGCCCAAAACTAACCCGAGGTCTTTAACGAACTTATTCGTTTGATTAATTAACATATTAATTAATCCTAGCCTTAGATAAATAATTAAACCATTTAATTATTCTTACTCATCTCCGTTGAATCTTCAATCTCTACCTTACACGGTGTACGATCCATTAGGTTCCTTTTAGCGAGGCAGTGGGCGATTCAAACTCTTTCAAATCGATTGTGAATTGAAACTTACTTTCAATTCTCCCGTTAGTGATAATACACTTTTAGGGCTTCCACAAACCATGAGTGACACCTAGCAGCATATCATGGTTACCCAAGCTAATCAGAAGAGGTGGAGAACCTATTCAGTTTAGGATTACAAATGCAATACGGTCTTTCTCTAATACAATACTCTTGACCACATTGTTTGGTTTGATAGTTTATTCATGTTTACTATCCAATGTGAATCTTGTACTTATATGATTACCTTGAATGTGATCTGGAACGCATTCCAACATCTCATTCATACTCTGGCCAGAGATTCTAAATCATATCATAGAGTATTCTCCCTCAAATAGTTTGAAGGTTAGAGATCCCTTGTTGCGCATTCACTTGCCTCCATGGCTAAGTGGCTTAACCCCAACAATGCCGTGGACACCCTGATAAAGTGACTTTGACATAATCAAAGATTAAGGACCTAACCACAAGACAACTGTGATGCCTCAGGTCAAAAGACTAATTTGCATTATCCCAACCATGAGTTCTCATGTGACATGAATATGAGAACTCTTCGTTGATCGTGTTCAGTGAACTCATTCTCTATTGAGCACCTACGTACTTGTCTTGATGTCACACACACCAATGACTCGAGACTAGTCACTCTCCCTGAGAGAAGACATAGCACGTACTGATCTTAACGGACTGTCAATGCCCAATTGACAATCCTATGATCAGGAACGTTTAGGATGTGTCAACGAAAGAATGGTCTCATGAATCTAACTTCTTTAGATCGCATTCTTCCAATCACATATTCCTTGGACTTATCGTTTAAGCATATAACATTTATATTAGACGGCTCAAACAATAATCTTTGCCATTTAAACTACATTAGTTTGAAATGTCCGTAAAGTATCATCATATGATTGGTTTTAGGGCACATTTCCAACACAACCCTCTTCCTCCAACTGGCATCCATGTTAACCTTCACCACATCTTGCATCGGAGGAGACCAAGAGGGAGAAGCTCTGACACCTTGGTCCGTCGCAGTCTTCACGATCCTATGCTCCGAGCATGCCTCTGTGTAAGTAGAGGCAGCCATGGAAGTAGCAAACACAGTTTTCAACGGAGATGGTTGTCAAGAGTGAAAGACTGCATCACACCTAGCTTTCCATATAGCCCAACAGGTGAATGTGATATAAGACATTTTTTCCTCCTATCCTCATTCCGTCCCGGGTGATTGTGCCAAACCTCCTTAAGCCAAGAGTGAAGAGTAGACATCGAGCCTTTATGAACTCGCAACCCCAAGGCACCCCCAAAACATACTCGATCCACCCAAGGGCATAGAAGTAAGACATGTCCAATCGACTCCTCTTGCTCAGAGCAAAAATGGGCAAAAGGGTGAAGAAGCACACCTAGGTCGTAAAAGATTTAACTTTGTAGCGATAACGGCATGGATAGCTCTCCATATAAAGTTCTTAATTTTGGAGGTGGGGTTATAATAGACTATATCCTTTTTCCATACCTCCAAATCAACAAGTGTTGAGGAAGAGGGATGTAGATTTTGCATCCGTTGGGTAGCATCATGGATCTAGTGATACCTAGATCTTACCGTGTATCGACTTCTACGCTTATGCGGCCAAATCAAACGATCCCTCTGTTCACCCACGCGAATTGGAGTATCAAGATCCACTAGTTTGTCCTCGTTTTCCATATCCCTCACAATTGCATCTATCCGCCAAGTTCGGGAGGGGGAATTGATAAGAGAGGAAACCTGCCTCGAGAGATCCATCTTATCTCCCAGAGTCGGAGCCGAGTGCCCAACGTCTAAGGTTGAGATCTAACGATCCACCTAAACATTAACCTACTCACTATACATAATTT